CTGTGTCTTGTCTCTAGCTGGATTGTTATGACAAGCTGGGGTGGGGTGGGAGCAGGGAGGGTTCCTGGCGATCCCAGTGGGAGAGAAGTCTTTGGAAGTATCGTCCCAGGGAACCCAGATGGCACAGAACTGGGAACCCTGTTGTCTCCTGGCAGCCCCCAGTAGAGACAGTGAAAGTAAGTCTTGGAAGAAACCAGTCCATGGAAGGAGGCCCTGTTTTGACCTCGGGGTCTCTGTCTGAGGGTAGAGAGCCTACAGCCGAACAATCAGTTGACCCCTGGATTTGCTGGGGTCTGTCCCCAGTCCAGTCCCTGCCCGGTTTAGCTAGGATCTCTGTCTTCACTTAGATTAGGGTGCAGGGGGAGATCAGGGAGGCTTCGGAGGATTGGGACTGAGACAAGCTTTGAAGGATAGGAAGCATTTGGGGAGAGAAGGGGGAAAGTTGGTATTTGGGAGGCAAATGTGGTGGCTGACATGTGTGGGGTGGGGAGACCAAGAGGAGGCAGGCCTGCCTGGCATGGAGAGTGGAAGGGAAAGACAGCGCTGGGAAAATGTAGGCAGGTCCATGTGGGAGGCAGCAGGGAGCCACTGTGGGCTCTTGAGCAAGGTAGTGACGAGAGACTTCAGCCTTTATCTGACACACCTGAGAGCCCGCTGACCAGGTACTGGGGAGGGCACTAGGAAGTTACTTCTTTCTCCGCCACCATTTGCCAACAAGCTGAGCAGAGCCTGGTGCTGGATATGGTTGAGACAGAGCTGAGTCAGACGTGTGTCTGTCCTGGTGGAGACACGTGAGAGCCTGGGGTGTGTACGCAGAAACGAGGAGGCTGCCTAGGGGGGGAGGAGACTGCTGCCTCAAGGATCCCTGCCCCTCAGCCATACCCTGGGGAGACTGAGGCAGGAAGACAGGGCCAAGCCTCAGGCTGAGGGGGTCCCCTAGGCTGTCCCCAGAGGCACTTCCCAGGGTGTGCAGAGACCAGGACTGGAGGGGAGAGGTGGCCGCAGCTGTGTGGCCAGCCCCCTGAGGTGATCACGCCTGCAGAGACGAGGAGGAGCTGAGGCGCTCTCTGTCTGAGCTGGCCGACCCCAACCCCAAGGTCATCAAGAGGGTCAGCGGGGGCAGTGGCAGCGGCTCCAGCCCTTTCCTGGACCTGACTCCCGAGCCCGGGGCTGCCGTCTACAAGCACGGGGCCCTGGTGCGCAAGGTGCACGCAGACCCTGACTGCAGGAAGAGTACGTGGCCGGGCAGGGTCTGGGGGATGGATGGGAGTGGGCCTGCCCCAGGCTCCCCTGACCTGTCTTCCTTCTCTCCAGCACCTCGGGGCAAGCGGGGCTGGAAGAGTTTCCACGGGATCCTCAAAGGCATGATCCTCTACCTGCAGAAGGGGCGGGCAGGCCCGAGGGGCGGGGCCAGGCAGGGGGCGGGGTGTGCGGGCCGGGGCGGCGAGAGGTCGAGCTGGGCTCGGCTCGCGGGACTGGGGCCAGGACAGATGGGCACCCCGCAGGAGGAGTACCAGCCAGGGAAGGCCCTTTCAGAGGCAGAGCTCAAGAATGCCATCAGCATCCACCACGCCCGAGCCACCCGCGCCCACGACTACAGCAAGAGGCCCCATGTCTTCTACCTGCGCACGGCCGACTGGCGGGTCTTCCTCTTCCAGGCCCCGTGAGTGTCTTCTGCCCCCAGACCTCCTCACCCGGTCCCCTATCTTGGCCCCCTCCCTCGTCCCTGGACCGCCCCACC